GAAACATACCAGAGACCAAACTGGATTTACCTTACTGTGGGTAGATCAAAATGTAAATTCAAAAAAAAAAGCAAGTTGCAATAAACAAACATGTCCCACTTGCCTCTAGTTTGAAAAATAGTATTTAATAACTCCGTCTGTCTTAGTTACTTATCTCTTGTTGCTGAGACAAAACACCAGATGCCCAAAAGTAAGGGAGGAAAGTTTATTTAGCTTACAGTTTGTGGAGGTTTCAGCCCACAATCAGTTGGTTCCAAGGCTGGGTGGGTCATGGCAGAGGACAACAGTTCATGGTGGCAGAAGACAGCAAAAGCAAAAGCAGGAAGACGCAAACCTCTTTTCCTCCCTATATAGCTATTCGAGCTACTCGCCTTAGGGCAGGTATAGCACTCACACCCCCATCCAGCACGAGACAACCAACCACTCACAAACTCTAGATTCAGCTTCCTCCAAAAAACCCACCCCTCCTTGACCACATGAGACTTTGGGGGGACATCCAGACACAAACCATAACACGGCGTATTTTACTGACCTTGGAATGTCAAATAATCATTGCTTCTAGTCTGAGAGTTGAACACCTACTATGAGATAGGCATTGTGTTTAACTCTGAGCTTGCAAATGTAATCATGGACACTGGGTCTCTAGCTTTTACACTGGTCTGGGTGACATGTTTTATAAAACAGAAATTGTTCTACACTGACTTTTTTCACCTACAGAAGTCATGGAAGGCCTTCTGCAAGACAGTTGGCTTTCTTGCCCACCCACTCTCAGAATCTCGTGCTCAGAAACCTCCTATCCTGCCCTAAGGACGACCTCATCAAGTGGACGGTGTGCTCAACTCCATTGCCTTCGCAAACAATTCCACCTTCCCTCCCACAGTACCTTCGCTGTCCAATTCTGCTCGCTTAGCTCTCCTGAGATCCTCAATTACTGAGCAAGACATCAGCTCTTTGAGGATACTGTCTTACCCCATAGTCTGTTGCTAGAACAGAATTGCTGAGACTGGGTAGCCTGGAAAGAACAGCAGTTTGTTTGGGATCTCAGTCTTAGAGGATGTTATGTCCCAAAATGTGGCATCAGCAAGGGCCTCACAGATAGCAAAAACTGGAAGGGCAGGCAGGCATGTGGGAAGAGACAGAGCAGTGGGCAGCTTCACTTTATAAAATCTGCTCTGAGGACACTAATCCCATCCTGTAAGAGCCCAAGCTGGAGAAAAACATTAATCCCTCTTACCAATCTAATCCCCTCTTACAAGCTCCCCTGCCAGCAGCACCACCACTGCAACCAGATTTCAGAGCAGTCAGACTACAGGAAAGGCAAGGTCTACAGCCCAGGGTCATCTCCACATTCACATCGATGAGTATTCCATGGACTGCAGGCTGCTAACATGTATCTACCCCTCTATACCACAAAACGCTTCTTCACTCAGCCGGCTCAGTATCAGCCAGTAGGTACCTGAATGCATTTTCTTGAGAGAATAAACTTTAAATATACAGCAAGAAAACTCGACAGGTGAGACCATGTGCTTCCTGGATATGACACGTCAGAGAGCACATGGCATTAGTGGTAGTGCCATTGGGCTTAGCTACTTTGTGAAGGCCATGGCTCGTTGATCTCTCTGATATGAAGGTCAGCTTCCCCTTTGAATTTAGCAAACAGTACAGGGGAAAGGGGAGTGATACTTTAGCATAGGAAACCTAACCTACTCCCCCAAAACACACTGAATGTCTTTTGCCAACTGATATCCATCAGTTACGCTACAGTGGGGTTTGCAAAGGGATGTTTTGACTAATTTCTTTAACATGTGATGTGCAGAAAAATAATTTTCTCCCAAAAACAGGTATGAATTATAAATTCTTGTTTAGAAGGTAGAGATGCTTAGGTTTTCTTTCATAATTATTCATTTCATAGCAAAATATTAGCATGGTAGTTACCTCCATAAATGGAAAATGAAGAGTTTTAAATTTATGGTAATCTTAACAGTAGATAGTTTGTTTCTATAAATATGCTACCTTTCAACAGAGAGGTGTGAAGAAGGTATTGGACTGATACACATCACTTGAATTCATTTATATAAAACATTGGATTCAGACACCAGGGCCACAGCCTGGAGCCTCGCAACCTGCAGCAATCCACTGAAGCTCTTCCGGCCTCGTGATTTATGTGCCCACAGATTTTCCTTGACAGCTATTAAATACTATGATGTGAGTAATAAAAGTTTTTAGGGCTAGAATTCTATCTGGAGCCTCAGAACCTATTAACTTCCAGAGCCCACCGCTTGCTTAAGAGATTAGTAAAACTTCTCCCACTGTCTCCTGGAAGAGGAGAACAGCAGGTTGTAGGAAATTTCCATGACATTTTAGAACATACAAAACAGTATGAGAGACAAACAGAGAGGTGTAAACTAGAGACGGCACGGTGGGGCTCCAGGAAAGGAGGAAACAGGAATGAGGAAAGACCCCAGGAAAGCAGAAAGACAAACGTATAAGAAATGAAGGACAAAAGGTAAGAAAATTGCAAAACTTCAAGAATAAGAATTCCAAAAAGAAAAGATTGGAAACCGAAGGAAATGAACTCCAGACAGACTCCCGACACTTTTCCAGCACTGAGGGGCACGCTCGTTCAAGGTTAAAAAGATTCAGCAGGCCCAGTACAAGCAAGAAAAAAATTAATTCTAACCAGATGAATACGTGGATAATATTGGAAGGGTTAGAGCCTGACAAGAATTATTACAGACACAGTAAGCTTTGCTCAAATGCTGCATGTCAGGAATGTCTTCTCTCCCCTGCTTTTCTTAACCATTTGCCTTGGAGCTGAGTTCTGGGGTCGCATGAAAACGCACTGTCTATTAACCAGGAATGAGTTGAAGACACCCACTGCAAAACATGGTGACACAGTGAGTAACTGCACCGCACACGGGAAGTCCAGAGGAGAGGAGACTCCAAGTGTTCTCAGCACAGAAAAAAGAAAGAATGAAGATGAAGTAGGTGGACGTCAGTAAGCTCGGCTTAGCCAGTGCACAGGGTACCCATTTCTAAACACCATGATGCACACAATACATGTTCCTCACTTTCGCTTGTCGATTAAAAAATAGCAAACAAAAAAAAAAATGTAATGATGGACGTGAGGGCGATGTGGCTGTGACAGGGTCAATCCGGAAGATCCGGCTGACTCTGCAGGTGTCCCCGCCCTCCCTCACCATGCATGTGCGTCCCTCCTGGGTAGAAGGTGACCACGCCCCATCGAGGAGGACCATTCTACCGTCAGGAGTCAGGAGTGTACGAGCTGCTGTGCTCCCTGCTAGAGCCTCCGAACAAGCTCTCAAAAAATATGCATTGAAGGGCCAGGGATATAGCTCAGCAGCATAGCGCCTGCCTGGCAAACACGAGGCCCTGAGTTCAAATCCTGATGGGGGGAAGTACACACACACACACACACACACACACACACTGAGTCACAAAAGCACATTTAAGACAGAAGCAAAGTTTTGAAATAGAATGAAATGCCCCAAACATCAAGGAGCTTAAACACACTCATATCTGGAAAGCAGTGTGAAACTGATCCCTGCAGTCATCTGTGGCACCCTCCAAGCCCATAAATGTATCGGGTACCTTGGTCTCACTAGAAGAGTTACTAGCAATTCATCCTAAGGAGATATTTCAAAAGAAAGTAAGCTAATTTTTGGCAATAATCACTGCAGAGTTTTGGGAAACAGCCAAAGCCACAAAATTAAAAGCACAGTCAAGAAAATGACGGTACCACTCACCTGATAGAATGATAGATAAGCTATTTATGCTACAGCATACACAGATGTAAGACATTAATGAGTGAAATGTTTACATATGGAAATCGTACACAGTCAGCTACACTGTACCCACGTGACAGCATTTGACAAAAGTCACCATGGGCGACGGATACCACTGAGCTCCCGTGGTTTGCCCACCACCACGCTCCCAGGGCCTGCCTCAGTGGCTCCATCGAGCCCCCTCAGTGCTCCCCTTCATCCTCCTCCCGGCTATAAGTGCGAAGCCTCCCCCAGCCCCACCGGTCTCCTCGGCCAGCCTCCTCACGGCCCAGTTCCACCCGCTTCTCCTGCCTTCCACCCCGTCCACACATGTGACCCCAGCAGGACGCACAGAGACACAGTGACAGCCAAGGGCCTCCTCAACTCTTCCCTCAGAGGTCCTGCTCCGGTGTAACATCATTCTGTAATTCTGTCTTCCTCCAGGGCGAATGGCCACCCACAGTGGCTAAAACAACTATGCACATCACCCCTCACCCACATTCAATCCACCAGCAAGCCTCGGCCAATCTTCTACCAACATGGACCCTAAAATACCCATACCACTCTGGGCTCTCCCCACCACCCCACCGAGCTGCCTCGGGGCCCATGTGTGTGACCATCATCTGCAGCCTCTGGAGCCCACCCGTACTGCAGGGGCCATTTCCTTTGAAAGAAGGAAGTGAGGGGACCCCTGAAGCCCTCATGGTGTCTCCACTATACATAAGGAGCCTTGTCCAGGTCCAAGAGCCTCCTGCCTGCCTTGGTCCCCTGCCCCCTCAGTTCTACATCCTGGCCCTTGGTACAGCTCATACACAGCCATGGATCCAGGGCCCCCCACACTAAGCTAATAAACACTCCACCACTGAGCACCTGCCACGGCCCTTACATATGAGTACTGTGAACTTCACTAAAACAAGAAAAAACAGCAAAAATAGTAAAAGCACAATCTCAGAGTTTCTTTGTTAAAAACCTGGTATTATCCACATGTGTAAGAACTCTAAGAATAGAGTACACAGAAGCCACTGAAGCAGAAACAACACAGAGAAGATCACGGAGGTCCCAGCAGGAGAGTGACGTGCACAACCATGAGGTGTTCCACATGTGGCCAACAGATCACGCTGACTGACACAAAGATCGTCAGGTGGGAAACCGCGCTGTTTTTGGTCTTCACTTGTTGCAACCCTTGGGGAGCCCGAGATGGGGTGCCCGGCTTACCTGTGAGCCTGGAGGCGGGGCCAAGCCAAGGAATGAATAAATGATGTTCTCTTCTTTGGCAGAGAAGAAAGAGTCAAAATCCTTGAAGCAAAGGAAAAGGATGTTTAGGTACATTGCACACCCGTAAGCCAGCCCATTCACCTAACTGATTCTTCCTGCTGATCATTCAGCGGGACCCAGCACAGAAGCCAACCCGGATCGCTCTGCCGGAGGAAATAACTAAACCTGAAAGTTAAGAGATTACTTTCATTGTGTTGTACAGCATCATGGGAACACATAACACACACACACACACACACACACACACACACACACACACACACGCATGCACGCACGCACGCACGCACACAACCCTTAATGCTCAGGAATTGCTGGTAAAATCCAAATATTCACAGTTAATGTTTTTCCAAAAGTTTTCCACCTCTAACCAGATGGTTGGTACTTTGGCCTCGTAGATCTGAACCCAGCTCGGTCCCAGTTGAGACCGTAGAGGATAGGACGTCCCTCCTGTCATCAGGCAGACTTGTCTCAAGCCCTTCTGGTAGCCCAGGACCAAGGAGGACTCTGCTTGCAGAGGACTTAGAGCCAGGCTTGTGTTGCAAAGTGGGAAAAACTACAGAGGACCTGAGCCCTGGGAGCAGGCTGGAATCTCCACCCCACCGGACCCCCAAGTCCACCTCCAGTACTGGGAAGAATTGGGGTTTGTATGATTAAAACGCAACAGACCTTCCCCCAGGTCCACTTAGTACTGCCCAGCTCCGTCATCAGGGCCATGATGTGACTCCAACAGTGTTGCAAGAGGCTAGCAGGACAGCAGGTGGCTGTCCCGGCTCCAGCAGGGTGACACTCCAACAAACGATGGCTGGAGAGTCTTCTCAGCTCCAATGCACAGGGGCATTAGACTTAGCAGTGAGCATCGCACTGCTGTGTTACAGCACAGACCTCAGCAACTTAGAACTAGACCGGAGGACTTGGTTGTCCAGATGTGTGAAGTCCTAACCCAGATCCACTGAGCTCGGAGGAAGCAAGGGGTGCAGCTGAAAATCAGGATGAAGTGTCTGTCAGTGAGAGCTGATGGAAACACACAGCCCAGAACGGTTTGGAACAAAAATAATTGTAGAAGTTATCGCACTTCTTGGAGGACAAAAGAACCAAGCAGATTATGGCTCTGCATCAAAATGTCCCATCCCGATACGCCTGCCAGTCATCATTTGCTAAAAGTAGAGGTTCTGGAATTAACAGAAATAACAGGACCCACAGAGCTACTGGAACAAGGATTCCAGGGACCATGCAGGCATTTACAAGAGTGGATTTGAGAACAAGGTTTCCTGTGTAGTGCAGAGTTTAAAGGGTGTGAGGGGAAGTGGTTGCTTTTTTGATGATTCCAAAGTGAAAGTTACCAAAGAGAAGGACATTTGGATTCTCTTTCCCCTTCTATGTCTCCCACACCTACTCCTCAGATGTGGGTGTGTTTTCCCGGTGTAAGTGTTACCCTGGCCTGGCCAGCACTCGTAAAGTTGGTTACAGCAACCAGTCTTTTTGCCTGTCTTTTAAAGCTCCCGGATATTATTATGGGTCTTCCTAGGTTTTAATTTGAGACTTGAAATACTGAAAAACCACATTAATAAGAGTTTGTCTTCCTTCTTAGAGACAAGTGATGTGTTTGCTCTCGAGGACAAACTTGTACAGGTTCTTAATTGAATTAATTCAAAATGGAAGCATTTCAGACTTTTGGGTTTGTACTAATCTTTTGTGTCTGCTTTTTAAAATAAAGGGCTTGTGTTTGTGTTCTCCATATTTTGGAGAAATCACCTAGGTCTGTGCTTTTCCACCCAAGAAACAGACCCTCATTCAGCAGACTGAGCTTCATCATGAAGCCTGATGTCCGATAAGCCGTATCAGAGACATAAACCTAGATAGTAAAGTTCATGTCGGGGCGTGGATTTATGCCTTGAGTCACTTTGGAGAGTGTCCCAGAAAAGCCAGACTGTCCCCTTTATCTTCAGAAGAAGTTTACATACATTTACCAAGATGATTCTGTATCTTGCACATCTTCTGTAGCATAGACTAATTTGTATCTCTTTGTACTCCTGTTCTGCTCAATCTGCCTATAATACATCAAGCATTTAAATTTACCTTTTAAAAAACTGGGAGATCAATAAAACTTAAATTGTTTACTTATGAAAAAATAAATAAATAGATAAAGCTGCAACTGTGCCTTCAGGGTAGCAGTGAGCACAAATGGAGACAGATAGGGGGTGCAGAAACAGATCCCCAAACAGCACGCAGATTACAGATAGGTAAAGAAATTGTGTAATACGTGTGGCTGAGAGAGCTGGGGTGAGCTCTGTGGTAGAGCACTTATCTCACATGCACGAGAGCTGGGTTCAATTCCCAGCACCAAAAAAAAAAAAAAATATATATATATATATATATGCACACACACATGAGTGAAACAATGTTATCCATATTTTTAATTAAAATTATATATGTGTCAAGCCATTTGCCAAAAAAAAGAGTTAATTTTATTTAGCCCATCTTTAAAGTAAATATGAAGCAAAGTTATTTAAATTTTAGGTGACGACATAGGAAAATACATTTTTGGTTTCAGGTTTAAAAAGAAGTAGAGAGAAGCCATACACAAGGAGAAGACATCCACACCACGAGATGAGTAGATTTGCACTGTGCACAGACACCCGGACTCCACAGAGAGAGGAGGAGAGGAGCCTCGCAATCGCCTTGGTAACCAGGAGAGGAAAGCAGTGCTTTTCCACTCCCCAGCCACTAGGGTCCCCAAAACGTCAAAGCTGGACAGTGATCAGTGTCCCAAAGTGCAGCTGGTGGAAGCAATTCAGAACGCACTGGTGTCGGCTTCTGTCCCAGGAGCTCCATGAAGGACACTTGTGTGACAGTCAGAAGCCAAGAGTGCACAGCAGCCCTCTCCAGCAGAGCTGAGAACAGGCGCAGACTGCACAGGACAACCATTAAGGTCAGCACAGCTTTAAGACACATGGGCGGGCCAGGGATGTAGCTCAGCGGCATAAGCGCTTGCCTGGCAAGTGCGAACTTGTAAATTCGATCCTTGGTACCGGAAAAAAGCAAAAAAATAAAAAAATAGAACACATGGAGAAGCAAGACAAAGGATTTATCAAGTCAGAGCCCATTTCTATAAAATTCAAAAGTATGCAAAGCAATCAATATACTGTTTGCGTGCACACGTGGCAATAAAAGAAACAATGGTTAGCACGGAATTCACTCTGAGGCTGTGTCTGGTGTGGACACGGGGGACCTTGGTCACGGAAATGTACGTGGTGGGCTTCTAGGTTTCTGGTAACGTCCCATTTCTATCCCGGACAATGGTGCTCATCTTCTTGTTGCCCTTGGCATATTGCAAATAGATTTTAAGGATGTAAACTAGGATCCAGATGTGGTGGTGCACGCCTGTAATCCCAACACTTGGGAGGCTGAGGCAGGAGGATGGAGAGTCCAAGGCTGTCTTGGACTACATGGTGAGATCCTATCTCAAAAAGGGAACAAGCCGGGTGTGGGGTACCTCCCTGTAATCTCAGCACTTGGGAATCTGAGGCAGGATGGGCACCACGAATTCAAGGCAAGCCTGGGCTACCTAGCAAGACCCCATCTCAGAAAACAGACAAAAGCAGAGAAAATAGTTTGGTTCAATGACGGAACTATCCTGAGAAGCCCTCACCCGCCCTAAGTGCTTCTGCTTTCTCCCTGCAGGCCCAGAGTTCCTCGCCTCTCACCGCCCAAATGAGCCTCCCCTGGCTGTACTCAGGCCTGGGAAAGCACCCAGCCCTTACCTGCACTAAGATTCCAATCTGTCATCACAGACAGGCCTGCCACTCCCGGCAAGGCGCCCCTCTGGTGTCCCCTTTCTCTGTCTCCAGCTGGCTGCTGTGCTCTGGGGATAATGTCTTCATCTGTCCCCAACAAGGCACCGGGAGCTTGAGCTGGCAGACACACCGACATCCAACCCTCACTGCCCTGCTGCCGAGAAATGGGCTCGTGTGTGCCTGATGCTTCGTTCCGGGTGGACAGGAGGACATGACTTATAGGGACCCTCAGGCTCGAGTGAGAAGATTTACATAGTAGTTATTCCTGCAGTCTACCTGCTGCACGTGAGGAAGGACACCTTGACTCACTCCCCAGCCCTGAGCCATTTAACCTTGACATGACCTTCAGAACTTTTGTGTCTCTTACAATAAGCCTACAATACCAATGACAATTTTCATCAACTCTCTGGAAACAAAGCTCTCTGCGTCATTAACATACTTTTGTTAAAGAGCATCCTCAGACCTAAGAAAAGCAAATGTATCAAAGCTTCTCAAAAGATAAACCACTGTGTTAGCTCTCCAGCACTATAACAAAACACATGAGACCATAAGCTTTTACACAAGAAAAGGTTTATGTTAGCTCACAGTTGTAGGGGTTTCCTCCAGTCCGTGATTGATTGGTTCTGTTACCCTCGTCACAAGGCAACATATCATGGCAAGAGCGTTTAGAACAGCACAACCAAATCAGTTCAGAAAAGATAAAAGCAAATTCTTCATTACCATCACTGCCTTCCCCCTTTAGCCCTTTCCTTATCTAAGAGGAGACGAAATTGTTGGAAATGGAGGTGGGGAAGTAGCAGGAGGGAAAAGTTTAGGCAGGGCTGGGAAGGAAGGGCCAGGTTAAAACCACACAGAAGCAGAACTGGACTGTAGGTGACCCTAAGTACGTGCTGATCACAGAAAGATTGTTTGAAAACAGCCCAGCACCCACCTGACTTCCAGCTAAGCAGCTGCAGAAGGCAGCTCAGCCGTCTAAAACTCACGCGGCCCCAGCCCATAAACCCACCCAGTGCCCCACACCCAAGGCTTCAGAAAGGGACCCTGGGTGGAGGTGAGCACGGCCGGAAACAGACTCTGCCTCTAAACCTCCGGAAGAACCAATGTTTGTGGCTCCGCAGGCAGCGTGGTGTCATGTGCTGGCTCTGCTGTGGTGTGACATGGGCTCCAGACGATGCGTAAAACAGTTCCTGCGAGTGTGTTCCAAGGGCTTTCCTCACTAAAACCCACAGGGGCAAGGTTTGACTCTCCTGTGCTTGGTGTTTGGGAGGTTTTGTTTGGTTGGTTTTTCTCATACCAAGAATGGAACTCAAGACCTCAACCCCAGGCCGCATCCTCAACAGCCTGCATGTGCTTGCCAGGCAGGCGCTTATGCCACTGAGCTGTATGCCCAGCCCAGAATGGGTGGTTTTGTGCAGCAAGAAGGTAACTGGGAACAGGGGGTGGGGGAGGAGGTGTGAGTCCCAAACCTGGTCCCCACACTCAGCAATGACAATCACAGAACTGTCCCCTCATTGGCAGCGACCTTATCCCCCACCCGACAGATGACTCCAGAGATAACTTCCAGTCCTTTGATCTGTTATTTTGCAGGGGTTTTAGGAGCTGAACCCCAGGCTGGGCTCGTGCCAGGGAAGTGCTCTGCCCTGAGCTCTCCCTCTGCCTGCTAAGCCTCTCTCCTCAACAGTGTGATTCACTCAGTACGATCTGTAGACAGGAAACTGAGGTGCTCCAGTATACACTGAATGTGTACAGCAAGTGTTATTAAAATCAGAAGCCCCGGCACAGCTTTTAGCAACTAGATTGATTCACACAGCTTCCTCCTGCACCCAAGCACCGCACACTACAGATGGATGTCGGGTCCAAGTGGACACTGACCACTCATCCCTATGGATGCCTGTGTGTGCCCACGACAGCCGACCACAAGTCCTTTCCAGCTGAGTGTGTATTTCACTTGATTCTCTAGCAGAGGCTGTGCAGGGTCAGAGAAGAGCATGTCAGCCAGTTTAATCTGTAAGCTGCACAGACCAGGCGGGGCCCAGGAAGACAGGAGCCAGATTGCATTTCTTGTGAGCTTGTGTTGGTTGATTGACTTTATAGGACTGAGGCCGGTAGTCTAAGCACCTATGAGATCCCTTAGGATCATGACCACCGTGTATGCAATATGATAAATATGGGTGATTTCCTTCTACCTTGTTTTTGAAATCCAATGTCATTCTAGTTGTTTTGTTTTGTTTTGAATTATTGTTTGTTTGATTCAATGCTTTGTTTTGATTGATTTTATTTTGGTTTGTTTAATTCAGTTTTACTGTGTCTGAGGAAATGGACAGCTACTGTGAGGCTAACAAGATATATTATGGGAGCCATTTTGATTTCCTGCTGTCCTGTTTTGAAGTTCTTGTGTGTGTGTGTGTGAAAGACAGAGAGAGACGGAGTCCCATTATGCAGTTCAGGCTGGCCTTGAGCTCACTCTGTACCCCAGGCTGGTCTCGAACTCACAACAATCCTCCTGCCTCAGCCTCCCGAGTGCTGGGATGACAAGCCTACACCACCACACTCAGCTGTTTTGAAGTTCTGTGCCACTTTCACTGTTTTAATGGGCTTTACTCTGTTTTGTACTGCTGGGTTTTAGTCTCCTTAAAATTAAAAACGAGAGATTCCATTCTTCAAAATAAGGCACAAAACCTGTAACACGGCCTTGGAAAGCCTAGTGCACCGCTGTGTAATCGTTTGCACCATTTTCTGAACCCAAAGCCGTGATTGTTGAGCGTGGACCCACTGTCCAGCTGTTGGACAGGGGAAATACTTGGTGAGCAGACAGAGCTCACAACCTCCAAAGCAGCCTCAACCCTGGGCCGGCTGTGTCCTGGACAGCCTGCATTCACATGCGTGCGCAGCAGGGTCTCGCCGGCTGCACTCACCCCGCAGTACTGCTCTTCGTTGAAGATCTGGGGCGGCAGGGGGATCCCGTTCTGAGGCTTCTTCTCCCCGGGAACGTTCTCCCTCATCCACCGCCGGTTGTCCTCATCCCCGGCAATGTCCAGCTCCTTAAAGTCGATTTTGTTCGCTTCCAGGAATCCCACAACTTCTTGCTGCTTCTTCCTAATCTGGGTGGGGCAGAGAAAAAGAACCACAAGGATGTTTGGGGTGTTTTAAAAATCCTTTTGATGACAGGTACATGAAAGCCTTTCTGTAGCTCTACCATGCAATGCAAATAAATCTGTAAAGCTCTCAAACAAGGAAAATGACAAACTCGCACTTTGTCATATGCGAGGGACAGTGACCATTTAAATTTTGAGATTTTAGCTGCGATGTGGTGCACTCCTGTAATCCCTGCACTCAGGAAGCTGAGGCAGGAGGATTGTTGCAAGTTCTAGATCAGCCTGGGCTACAAAGTGAGCTCAAGTCCAGCCTGAACTGCATAGTGAGACTCTGTCTCAAAAAGACAAAAAAAAATCTGAATCTGAGATTTTAATATCTTTTTTTTTCTGAGACAGGGTTTCACTACGCAGTCCAGGCCTTGAACTCATTTTGTAGCCTGGAGCAGCCTTGAACTCACTGCTCCTCGTGAGTGCTGGGGTCACAGGTCTGCATCACCACACCCAACCAGCCTTTACTATTGTCAGTGTTCGTAGAATTACATAACCAACCTAATTGAAATAGAGGCATTTTCATCATCTTTTATTTGCAGTATTTTAAGGATTTATAATTTCAAGTTTTAAAGGCCATAAAAAGTAGATAAGAATCTGTTAGCATCAATCTGATGGGGAAGAAACGAAGAAGGGAAGAAAGAGAATTCACTACAAAATTCAAACACCAAGCGCACCCATGCTGCAACACGTCTCAAGGATGAGAGATGCTGAACTGACAGGACCTGTGGAAATAGCACAGACACCCAAGGGTGCTGTGCACGGAGGTCAGAGTTCATGGCAGAGGAGAGAGAGGAAGCCAACAGCGAGCTGCCCTCCCCTGCCATCCCTCTGTTCCCAGGGAACACGGCAGCCCCCGAGGTGACAGGAGGTGACAGGAAGCCCTGTGTCCCTCCCACCAGCAATGACTGTGGCCCTGACTATGAGCTCCTGCGCTGTGGCCCCTTCAAAGCTTGGAGCGACCTCAACAATCTCTCTTCTGCCAATTCACTCCCAGAATGTGGGATGTCATCTCCGCCCCGTCCCCAGGACCAGGAACCGAACTCAGGGAGCTACGCCCCAGCCCTTATTTAGGTTTTGTTCTGAGACAGCTCTCTCCAAGTCACCCAGGCTGGACACAGACTTGCAAACCTCCTGTCTCAGCCTCAGAGTGCTGGATTGGCAGGTGTGCACCACGGCTCCCGGCTTCTGGCTCCAGCTTTTCTTCTATAAACAGTGGTAAAAAATTGTAGCAGACTCAGCGACTTCTATTTTTTTAAAAAGCCAGAGAGACTCCCTGGAAGTATAATCAACCAAATATCAGTCAATAATCATTGATCAATTTTGCACAGTGCAAAAGACTCTGTACCAAAACAAGGGCTAAGGCTGCTTACCACAGCTGAAGCAAAGTACAAAATTTATTTGTGTAACACAGACTAAGAACCAGAAAGAGGTCCATAAATATGAAGTCCATAAGATGGCCATAAATATGGTCACCTTTAGAGGCTGTTTTTGTTTGTTTTGTTCTGTTTTTTGAGACAAGGTCTTATAATGTAGCTTAGGCTGGTCTTCAATTAAGAGGAATCCTCCTGTCTTAGCCTCCCAAGTGCTGGGATTATAGGCATGCCCCACCTTTTCAAGTAAGATTGAAATTTAAATAATTTTTTACATGAAAATACCTAATATCCAAATGTTTTTAAAAGTTGCTCTGAGCCAGGAGTGATAGCTCATGGGTGTAATCGGGAGGCTGAGTCATGCAGCTGTTTATCAGCAGAAAGGTCAAGCTGACAGCTTGAAATAAATGCTGTCAAAGTCACAAGCTCTTCCCAGATTTAATGGTGAGGTTCAAACCCTTTTTGGCCTAAAGCCAAATTCTTTCTTAGGCGATCTCTATACTCAGGGGGGAGAAAGAAAGAAAGAAAGAAAGAAAGAAAGAAAGAAAGAAAGAAAGAAAGAAAGAGAAAATTATTTTATTAATTCTTGCCAAAGTGAATTACTCCATCAATAACTCATGGATAGAAAGTTTCTGCTTAATACAAGGAAAAGTAGGCAAGCATAGTGGTGCACACCTATAATCCCAGCACACAGGAGGCTGAGACAGGAGGATCCACAATGAGTTTGAGGGCCAGCCTGGGCTACACAGTGAGATCCTGTCCCTCCCTCCAAAAAAAAAAAAAAAGTGAAGCATAAAAGGAGGAAGAAGAGAAGTAGAAAAAGAAGAGGAGGAGGGAAAAGAGGAGGAGAAGAGGAAGAAGAAAAAGGAGAAAGAAAAGAGAACAAAAGAAAAGGATGACTGCAGGCAGGTGTAAGGGTGAGGTCAGGGACAGGTGCCAGGGAATGCCAACCTTTGGGGTAACTGCTATTTCTCACCCCCTCAAAAAAGAAAAGTCCCTATTTTCCCCTGAGCTCCCCAGACGCTATCTAGACAGGGACACACCAGGGCTGGCAGGGGAGGAGGGGACCTCATGAGCCCCAGGGCGAGCTGTGTCTGGGCTAGGGTCTCCCCCAAGACCCCCTAGGTGAGTCCCTCTCTCCGTCCCCCACACACACAGCCCGAGAAGGCTCCTCCCTCTCTGGTGGGCAGGGGTGTCACAGCACCCAGCGGCTCCTGGAGATTCGCTCCCTCTCCTCACCTGAGGTCCTACCCAGCAGCCTGCAGGGCCCAGGGCTACCCAGGGTCTGTGTCATCATTTGGAGCCTTGGGACACTTCTGTTTTCCTACCCTGTCTCACTCACACGTAAGAAAGCGTTTTCCTGGCCCTGAAGTTGCCAGGTCACTGCTATAGGCAGTGTGACTGGACAGAGGCGCCTCCTGCCCACTGTCTCCTACAGCCAGGAGCCTTTTCCACTGAGGCCACCTACAGCCTGAGGAGCGCTGCCTCTGACCCCAGGCGGCCTGCATTTCCCTCCAAGCTCAGAAAGTTGCTGCGGTCCAGGCAAGGCAGGTGCACACGTGTAATCCCAGTACTCAGGAGGCTGAAGCAGGAGGACTGCCTCAAATTCAAGGCCAGCCCGGAGACCTTGTGAGACTCGGTCTCAAAAAATCCAAGAGGGAGGGAAGGAGGAGGGAAGGGGCAGAAAGGGGGAGATCTGAGCCAGGCTCTGATCTTTGGTTTCCTTATCTGCAAAATGGGTCTTAGGAGCTTCCTCCTAGGGTGCTGGTGAACCCCGAGAAAGGCACTGCATGCTGCAATATGAGAACCTGCACAGTTGGGCACCAGCACCCCACTGCTTCATGTTTCCCCCACAAAAAAGTGGGTGCCTGGCCCAGTTGGTACTCCAATCACTACAACCCCACGGAAGGTATGCTAGCACACACCTATAATTCCAGCACTCGGAGGCTGAGTCAGGAGGACCACAGTTTGTTTTTGTTTTTGTTTTGTTTTGGTACCGGGAATCAAACTCACAACCTCAAGTTTGAGCCACTGAGCTAAATCCCCAGCTCAGATAGTAAGTTTGAACCCAGCCTGGACAATTTAGTAAGACCCTGTCTCAAAAAAGAAGTAGGGATGTAGCTGCGTGTGGAGGCCCTGAGTTCAATTCCCTGGACTGTTCACATAACTAAATAAGAGCAGTGAGAGTTTCTCCCCAGGTTGTGGGAAATCCTCCCCTCCCACCAAAGCCATCAGCACGGACGCCGAGGCCCTGAGGTCTCCATGCGATAAGACGCACAATGATCATAGACAAAGCTCCACTAAACAACGTTTGTCAATAATCATGGTAACTGATCACTGTAAGCACCACAGTACCAAGTAGCACTGTTACCAAAACGATGACAGCGGCCATCAGAACAGTGCCGGTGGTCACAATGCTGGGGGAGCCCTGCTGGGCGCCTGAGCCCTGCCAGCCGCCCGGCATGTTATTTCAGAAGCCTTCGTGACAGCTCCATGAGGTGGGTGCTATTCTTATCCTCATTTTACAGACAGGGCAGTTGAGGCTGCACGGTAAAATACCTTTCCTGAGGTTGTGCAGCCAGGGTGGCCCTGAACATTCACCTCGGGTACCCAGGGACCGGGTTTTCCCAAGACTCTGGGATGAATGGCGGCTTCCGTCTCCTCCAAGTCACCCAAGTCAGGGTGCTCCTGAGCCGGGCATTGGGGCACACACCTATCATCCCAGCATTCAGGAGGCCGAGGCAGGAAGATCGCAAGGAGATCAAAGCCAGCTTGGGCTACATAGTGAAAGCCTGTCTTTAAGTAAATAAGTAAAATAAAAATAAATTTAAAAAATGTTTCCAAGCTTCCTGAGTGTAAGATATCAAATCAAGGGGCTGGGGATTTAGCTCAGCGGCATAAGCACCTGCCTTGCAAGCAGGCGGCCCTGAGTTTGATCCCTGGTACCGATAAAAAAATGAAAAAGACAAAAAAAAAAAAAAAGATATCAAATCAACCTAAGAAATCTATAAATGTATTCCTCGCCATGGGAAGGGCAAGCCACACAGACCCGATCTGCAGAACCCACAGAGGGCTGGCAAAAGTGGGAGACATTTTCAGCGCTCGGGTGACATATTTAAAGCCCAGCAAAGCCATTTCCCTCAGGACAGTATTTTGTGCTCTCACTTGTGCATCCCGGGCTGGGGACACAGCTCAGTGGTGGAGCGCTTTGCCCAGCACGTGTGAGGCCTGGGGTTCGAGCCCAGCCTGACAGAAATGAGCAAACTGAAGCATTCTCCCAGGTTGCACCTACAGTCTCTGCGGTGCCAATAGGAAAGGTCTTTCCAGCTGTGACTTTGCACTTGGAACGTCGCCCCTGCTGCTTTTCTGCTTGAAACCTGATCGTGTAGCATCCCAAGCTCTTTTCTCTCTGCAGAAACCAGAGCCTCAACCCCGAGATCCCCCGGGGATGGGATGTAAAAAGAAACAGGCTTTCTGGCTTCTGAGGTTAAGAAAAGGTTCCCCCGCTCAGGCTTTCCTGGCTTCTGGTAACAAGTTAATCAAAGCTCCACTCCTAGCCAGCAGTAGTGGCACACACCTGCAATGCCAGAACTCAGTACACTGAGGCAGGAGGGTCACTGTGATTTTGAGGCCAACCTGGGCTATGTAGGTGAGTTCAAGGCCAGGCTGGGCTGCACAGTGAGACCCTGTCTCAAACAACAGCCCCAGACAGACATGGCAGCTGAAACCTGTCTCAATTTCCACAAGGCCCCGCAGGAGGAGGAAGAAGTGCGCCCCCCTTCTCCACGGCAGCCGGGGGAGTGAGGCTGGACATGCTAAGGTGACTGGCTCCGGCTTCCTATTTTGGGGCCGTCTGGATTCCTAAAGCAGAACTGTGACCTCAGAGACACTTGCTCTTGTCACCGTGACATCATTTCCCTCAAATAATAGTGCGACACCCAGCAGCGACACACTTTCTCTCCCGTGATGCTGCTGCACATGCGTGCAAAGGAACTCACACTGGTGTCATTTCAGCAATTTGCTCCCCACACCCTCCGCTTGTGCAAAATCCAGCTATGCAAAGCGTCACTGGTTTCCAACTTCTTTTAATCTAAGGAAAAAACCCTTTTATTTGCACGTGGTCCTGTCCATAAAGCTTACACGCCTCATGGGTGTTGGTACACGTGCTGACACATCTGGATTCTTTTCCCTTCCTTCACCACTGCTCTGCCAACTCCGGTCGGTCTACGCCTGGCAGAATGAATGAGGGACCGCTGTCCCCAAAACGTCGCAGCCCAGCAGCCACGCACGTCACCCACTACAGCCTCCATCACGGCACGCTCCTCCTCCCTGGACTCGGCTTCCACACCCACCTGTCCGGGTCACACACTTCTCACACACTTCGGCGTTCAGCACCATGCAGACCTGCCCAGAAGGCCAGGGGCACACGCAGAAGGCACTGGAGGCCGCACCTCCTCCTGCCAACTTGAGCTCCCCAGAACACAAGAGGTGCCCCCACACACCTACCGCTATGGACCCCGAAGATGTGGCCACAAACACTTTGATGACCATGTCGAGGGTCGGAAAGAGGGCTCCCCCTAACACACCCCCGGCGGGGAACGCAGCGCTGGACAAATCCTGACTGGGACCGGAGCAGCGGGTGCCCAGCGCCAGCTGGCGACTGCCCAGCCACAGGGGCGGCCTGGGCTCCCCCCTCCATTGGCCCAGAAATATTTGGGGATCTGTCAGGGAAATATTTGATTGGCTGATAAAAGCAGCTGCTGGATGCTTTCCCATGTCACTTAAAATGCCTGACAACAGTCCCTAAAAGGCCAGGCTTTGCTGCAGACCAATCAGAGGCCTGGGTGCAGAGTGGGGCGGGGCCGAGGGCCCTGGGAGAAGGGGAGCCCAGAAAACTCCCGGGTGCAGGGCAGGGCAGGGCTGTGGGGCTCCCTGCAAACCAACCAGAAGGGTCAGGGACGCTGAAGGCCCAGGAACCAAGAGCAGCTTCCTTGGTGTACATTTTGCTGGCAGATTCTAAAAAGTTTGGAGACGCTGTGCTACAGTGGATCTCCTCTCTGAGAGGCCTCTCTGCAGCTGCACCACCTGTTGGGCCACTTGAGGGCTCCGTGACATCCCCGGGGACAGGGACACGGCCTGGGCGGCTGCCACTCAAAACAATGTCTCTGCTGCCGGCAAAGATGTGGGGACAGAACACAGTGACAGATTTGTCCACAACAGGCCTAGCCCACCTCACCACCCCAGACAATTTGGAAAAATACAGAAGCTAGCAAAGGAGCCCAGATGGGAGCTGCTCTAGGTGTCAAAATCAAGTCCAGGGGGGCTGGGGCAAAGACCCAGTCTTTCGGAGAGGCAGCACCACCCCGGGATTTTTGGTTTGAGGAACTCACAGCCATCTTCCTGCCTCAGCCTCCCGAGTGCTGGGATTACAGGCCAGTGCCACCACACCTGGCTTTCCTCTTCTTTTTTAGTTGTCTTTTTTTTTAAGGCCCCCTAGCACTTATAATGGAGCAAGTGGCACTGGCATCTGGGTCAGGGAGGGACGGCTCTGCCCCGGCTTCCCTGTCCCTGTTGGCTTCCCCAGAGTCTGGGGTGCTCCCCACCCTCCCTGAGGTAGGTATTCAAACCCATGCATTGAAATACACACTTGAAATGACTCCGCCAGAATCTCATTTGGGCTCCAGCCCCAGTCGAGGTCATCAGCGAAGGCGGTCAGTGGATTCCCCACATCCAGGTCTCTAGAATTGCAATTTTAAGTCCGCTGAAGGTTATGGATCATTTTTATATGGATTCCTTTCTACATTTTTAACATTTCTACCATGTATACTATGTTTTCCACACAAAATAATACTACACTTATTCACACTTACTTTGTAAGTTATCCCCTACAAAGCTGGGTATAGTGGCTCACACCTGTTATCATACCATTCCTGGAGGCTGAGGCAGGCAGATTACAAATTTGAGCCCAGTCTAGGCAACCACCAATTTAAGGAGACTGTCTCAAAAAAAAAGGCTGAAGGGATCGGCCTGGGTTCAATCCCCAGTATGAAGAGTGAAAATCCATATGAGCAGGCCACTTTCTCCAGCTCTATTATCTAAGAAAACAGTCAGCTAGGGGTCTCTGTCGATGGTCATGTGGACTAGGAATATGCACAGGGCTAGATACACGAGCTCTGTAAAACATACAGATGCCCTGTGCAGAGGGGAAACACTGCCTTCAATAACAGCTCCGCTGAGGCTGGGTATGGGGATGCCTGTAATCCCAGTACTCGGGAGGCTGAGGCCGGAGGATCAATGTGAGTTTCAGACCAGCCTGGACTACATAGTGAATCTCAGGCCAGCCTAGACTACATGGCAACACCTTGTCTCAAAAAACCAAAATAATAATAATTAATGATGATGATGATGATGATGGTGGTGGTGATGATGGTGATAAAGGTGATGATGGTGATGGTGATGATGGTGATGGTAATATGATGGTGGTGATGGTGGTGGTGATGGTGGTGGTGACAGTGATGCTGGTGAGGATGGTGGTGGTGATGATAATAATCCTAGTGAGATAACAGTTGTCACTTCTCGGGCCTGGAACATGGGCTGGATCTGCTGCAGGTCCTTTATGGTCACCCGTAAGCCTTAAAACTGGCCTCCACTGTTCTCCCCACAGTGAGAACACAGATCCAGAGGCAGTGGGTAAGCGGCAGGTTCCCTCTTTCTGCACCACACTGGAGAAGTCTTTGAGCCGCTGCCCCAGCATTCCTAGCGCCCCCTGCTGTCATGATGAATTCTCTTTGACAAATTCATCTTTTTAAAATGACTGTGAAAATGTGCAAATTTGCAAATTGGAACTAGCTGAAGAATCTCTTGCAATTTACTGTATTGATGCCCAGGACTTTAAGATAAGTAGCAGGAATCCAAACATTCCAAACGAGCCTTAAAATGAAACCCAGAGCATCTCTAACTACACAGCCCCCTCCAGAAAGAAATGTAGTCTGGGAAACGCAGGCAGAGCCATTAAAATGTCTCCAACTCATGCTGTGAAAGCCAAAAAGCACTTTTTGATTGAACTTAATTTTGATTATAAATGACAAGGTATTGGCTACCAACTTCACAGAGCTCCTTGAACACCTTATGATAAATGACATCAGGTGTTACTCATCTTTTCTTTTTGAGACAGGGTCTCACTACGCAGTTCAGGCTGGGCTTAAACTCACTTTGTAGCTCAGGCTGGCCTCAAACTCACAGCAGTCCTCCTGCCTCAGCCTCCCATGTGCTGGGATCATAGGTGTGTGCCACCACACCCAGCCAAATGTCACATTTTGATCTACATAACTTTATAGGAACCTAAAATGAGAAAGCCACACAATCTCAGTATGCGGGATAATGAAAGAGATTATCATAGAAACTGTACTAGGTTGAATAATATCCCCCCAAAATTCATGTTTAATCAAAACCTCTGCATGTAACCCTATTTGGAAATAGGATGTTTACAGATGTATGAAAATTTTGCTGTGGAATCATTCTAATTTTTTTTTTGTACCAGGGATCGAACTCATGACTGGGTGCTTGCAAGGCAGGCACTTATGCCGCTGAGCTAAACCATCCCGAATCATTCTAATTTAAGCGTAGTTCCTAAATCTACTGACCAGTGTCCTCCCAAGAAGCTACCAGGTGCAGTGACACACACCTATTACACCTGCTACCCAGGAGCCTGAGGCAGCAGGGTCACTAGCTGGAGGTCAGTATGGGCAACACAGGGACACCCTGAATCAAAATAAAATAAAATAAAATAAGGCCTGAGAATGCAGCTTAGAGGCAGAGGACTTGCCCAGCATCCAGAATTGTGGGATTATAAACCTCTGTTGTTCTCAATCACCAAATCTGTGATAAATTACACCATTCCTAGGGAACTAACACAGGCATAATAACACTGCCCAAAACACCCAAGAGGCTGCTGCTCCAGCCCAGGAATGAAGGGCCTTTTCCTCTTCCATAATGCACAGAGGTAAAATTCATGCACTTGGAGACAGAAGCCCCGGGGACCGGGGCAGGCAGTGGGCAAGAGGGGACCGTGCAGGTAGTAGAGGAGCTTCCCCCTTTCACATCCTCCAGTAGGAGCATCAGGGTGGCTTCTTCCCTTCACCTGGACAGTGTTCTGGGAGTCCCATCAGCCACTGCTCCATGACTGTCAAGTCCAGGATGACATTTGAGTCTGCTACTTAAGACGGCGACCACCAACACCCAAAAATAACTAAGGAACAACGCAGGGCAAGAGACCACAGGACAGGTTTTTGTGGTAGCAACTGAGCATATGATTTAGTACCTGGGTGCGGGCAGGCAGAGAGCAACAAAGCCACTGCCCCAACGAAGAGAAGGACGTTCCTTTTATATGGATGGGAAAAAGGCAGGGACACCAGGTGGAAAGATTTTAATAAACATCTATGGTCAAAGTTCGCTGGTAGTTTTATACCTCAGTGGACAGTGTCCTTGAAGGTCAGAGTAAATTTTCAGGGGTTTCTAGGTGTCCCCCGGACCTGCAAAATTCCCTCTTGTCTCCTCCACAGCACCCCGTGCTTGCTTACTGCTGAGCTGAGTTCCTCGAAGGGGGCAGCATCTCTGCCGGAAGGCAAGCCGGAGGCTGGGAGGGTCTGTCCGGTGCAACCTGCCAATAACCAGCACTGAGCTTCACAGGTAACACTCCCCCTAAACATTCAGAAATGCATGGCAGGAGCTCTAACAGCAGCACATGAGGGTTGGTTAATGGAGACCACTACAAAGCGGCTCTGAGCAGGATTTGAAATGAACCAACTGGCTTTCTGTGTTCACTTGTGAGTCTGTCCCAGGCCAAAGCCCCCTGTCTGGAGATGGGCAGTGGATTCAGAGTAAGTGAACCTCTGGGAATCACTGATCCTGGCTGAGGCCTGCAGTGGCCTGTGATGCCTTGAGACCGCCAAGGACAAGAGGAGGCCACAGCTGAGGATGCCTGGCTCCGACCCCAGTTAGCTAGATGGAACCTACAGCTGCATGCACCTCAGTCCTGCTGTGAGTGTCAACCTGGAGCTAAGACCGTTCGCCTAAACTGGCATAAGTTACTGCTTGGCGAAGTCTTTGAACTGACTACCAACGTCCTACTCAATTCCTGCATTTTCCCCAGAATCCCCTCTTTTTGTTTGAAAAACTAATAAATATGGGCCACCCAGAGAAGCTCTTTGACTCAGTGCCAGAATCTTGAATTATGATAGGTTTTGATCTTCCTGGAGCCCTAAATTCATCCCTCTTGTCTCATTTATTTAAGACTTTGCTGTCCACTCATCAGTCCACAATAGTTGTGACGTGGAGGGAAAGCTTTTGTTCCTACCTCTACCAAGGTAGAATTAAACCAGGTCTGTTTCAAAAGGAATAGTTACCACTTTTTACAGAGCAGCTAAAAATCATAAAGAGAAAGTGTGACCAACAATTTTTTGTTTGTTTGTTTATTTGTTTGAGATACTCAGCCTGGCTGTGTAGCTCAGGCTGGCCTCAAACTCACTATGTAGCCCAAGCTAGCCTTAAACCCACAGTGACCTGCCTGCCTCAGCCTCTGGAGTGCTAGAATCACAGGCATGGACCCACGTCCAGCGTGATCAACTGAATCACACAAACACCAAAACACATTATAAATAAAAGGAACTGACAAATCAGCAGAGGTATTGCAACATTAAAGACCAAATTTTATACATCAAAAGTTCTTTCAAGTAAATGTTTACAAAGATGAACATCAAGTTCAAAAATGGGAAAAAGGAGCAAATATGATGTTGCAGGAAAATTCTCAAGCCAAGTCAAACCAAACCAAACCAAACTGAAAGGAAGACTCTTTGCACTAAAAAGATAAAAAGGTGGCATTTAATCTTTGCCCCAGCAGACTGTTGCAGTATAATTCCTCAAAGGCAACAGCACTGAATTTAGGAAGAGTTTAGTTTCTATGGAATTCAAAAGTGGCAGCTACAAAGCAAGTGACAAAATATTACTTTATTGGTTACACTGAGTCATATATTGACAGGCAAGCTGGTCTTGAAACAAAGGAACTGTTTATCATAATATAGAAACACTCGAACAAGGAGAGGGGCCTTACAGAGTGAGCACAGTTAGGGCATTACCATAACGTAGAAGCATTGGGGGAGGGGCCTGGAATCAGCCCAGATGCCTTAAGGTACTGAGACTAAGTGCTCAGCAGAGGTCTGCAGCTGGGCTGTAGACACTGTCAAGGTCAATTGAATTCAGCAGAAACAGCAGAACAGAAATTCGGTCAGGGATGTCTAATTGATCATGAAATAGCAATGAGCTTGCTATCTTATAAATGTGTCCCTACATTGTAATTGTGCCCCAACAATGTTAGTGCGTGCCTGTAGCCCCAGCTACTCAGGAAGCTGAGGCAGGAGGATCAACTGAGTTCAAAAATTCTGGGCCAGCCTGGAAAACACAGTGAGAGTCAAAGAAAAAAGGGGGTGGGGGTTAGTCACAAGATTACAGTGGCCACCAAACGTATCCAAGAGTATATCCTTCATAATGACAAGGGAGTGAATATAAGATGCCAACTTTTGACAACAAAACCCTAACCCTAAGAATCATCTATAATTCCATCATGGTCAGTTTTTACTTTTCCTTTGTCCTCGGCTGTGAATCCCTACACCTAACGTGCACAGTGCGGTACTCAAATGTAAGCACCCTACTCTCGACCCATGCATCCGAGACCTCTGAGCAAACTGCTCACCTAGGGGACACGCGTCAACGCCCACCGCAGGACGCCCTTCCTCTCCGCTGCGCCTGCGAGCTGCAGTGCGCATGCGCACGGACGCTCGCCAGCCTTTCCCAGAGGCTCAGCGTGCGACTTCCATAGCAACGCACCCACGCCGGAAGGCCTGGGTTTGGCGCAGCCGCAGGAGCAGCGCGGAGCAGGTAACTGCCCCGCCGCTGTCACCCGTATATTGTTACCGCGATCCAGCCTCGCAGGCCCCCTTGCTAGAATCTTTCTGAGCTTCCGGCGCCGCCCATTCCCTAAGCCCAGTTTCCTGCTCTGTCTGCTGGTAACCTAGCCAGGCGCCCGCCGTCCCCTCCTGCAAAGATCTGGCTGCCAAGGGTCGCCCCCCAACCCGCCCTGCCCAGGAATTGCGGTCCAATTGGGACGACACCCACTGGGCACCCGGCCCGAAACTGGCGATTGATTCCCCTGGGGCAGTGGGCAGGCCCGGGACGGCGAGGGTCTCCCCTTCAACAGCAGCCGGCGGCTTTTCTGTCTAAATGTCACTCCTTCAGCTCGCTGTTTGGCTTTGATCTAGTTTTTCCTTCTGATTTGAACGCTGATATTTTCCCATCCCCAGCCCGTGGGAATCTAAAGCTTCTGGAATGTGGTCATTTGTCCTCCACCTACTCAGCCTTGGGGCTCTTTATCCAGTTCCCCTTGGCGCTTTAACTTCGTTGCTAGCACCCTTAACTCTTTTTTTTTTTTTTTTTTAATCGCTACCGGGGTCGTACTCATGACTGCCTGCTTGCAAGGCAGGCGCTTATGCCGCTGAAGCTAAATCCCCACCCTTAACTCTTGAGGCCGGCTTTTCATGGCTGAATGTGACCTTGAACCTGGTTTCTGTTCCCACGTCCTAGACGGGTGCATCGTCTCATGGACTTTTCTGTCTAATGAGCTGCAGGTGTCTGTCCGCCCCCAGCCCCTCCTCCGAACGCCAGATCCAGGACCTATCAGCCTGCTGCGCCCCTGCTTAGGAGGGGTGCCTCCTAGGCATCTCAGAGGCAATGCCACCAGCAAAGCCCCGGTAACCCCCAGTCTGCCCTGTCCCTCCTAACACACCCCAGACACTGGAAATCCATTCTTCCAGTTGCTCGGTTTCTGTCTTAACTCTGTCGGCACAGAACAGTCACAATTCTGGTCCCTGCTGTCAGCAGTCTGGTCCAGGCCACCACCATCAGTCACCTGTTTTGGTTCAGTGACCTCCTGCTTGTGTCCCTTGTGTTTGCCCTTCTTCCACCTGAGCACAGTGGGAACTGGTTTTCCTTTCTTGTTATTTCATGTGCATAGGTTTTTAGAGGATAATATGAATGTTACACTTGCCATAAATAAAAGTCGATTTTAGTACACATTTCAAGGATTTCAGCTTTTAAGCCACCGAGACAAAACTAAGTACTGACCTACTACCAAGCCACAAACTGAAAGATGCCCTTTACCTTTATTTTCCTTTTGCCAGGGTTGCTTGCCAAGAATGGAGCCCAGGGGTTCACTGTAACTGAACTACACCGCCCAGACTCACACACACACACATTTTGGGGACAAGGCCACACTAAATTGCCCGGGAGGGACTCACTTTCAATCCTCCTGCCTCAGCCTCCCAAGGTGCTGAGATTACAGGCACACAGCACCTTACCTGGCTACTCTTCAGCTTTCTAGAGTATATATCTGCCAGTGTCCCTGAAACAGATCTGTGGCAAGACCTTTGAGATACACTGTGCAGAAGAACAGAAGTGTCCAGAGCTTCCTTCCAAGTGAGAAGGAGGAGTCGTGTAGGAATCGAAACATGGTTCTCTGCTTTTTAGTTGTAGAGAAAAGACAGAAAAGACTCACTGAAATGGAGACAAATGACCAGGCCTGTGCTGATGATTTCCATAGTAATCACCTTCGGGGAATACAGACCCTAGTTAGTCTCTTAAACACCAGCTCCTGTTTATTTCCCATCAAGCAAATCCAGTTTCACTGGAGCAATGGAGTCAGATTGCTGCAGTTTTCTGGGGGCCTAGAGGTGGTGCAGGTCCTAAGCTGCCGCTTCCCACTCCCTGCCATTCCCTTTTCTGCTCTCACGCTACAGAGAAGCAAAGCTGTCAGATGAGACGACCTTCAGTCTCCAGCTCGCCTGCTGACCATTTTGTCCTCCTATCCCCATCCAAGGCCACTCCCTGTCCGTGCTTCGGGCCCCGTCCCCTCCCACTGGTCCAGACATCCTGCAGTGCCAGGTGTTCTTTCTCCCCTGGTCCAGCTCATTTGGCTCTACTGTGGTTCTTACGTGTCTGGTGTCCCACTGCAGAAGACTGAGAAACACAATCTCCCTCGACCCCACAATCCCCTGCAGGTTCCAGTCACTGTCCCATCCCACGTGCCCAGGACATCTCAGCCCTATGGAGAATTCCTGAAGTCCCTCTATCCCTTGTCCCTCACCCCTCTGCCCCCTCCTGTCCACCTCCGGCCTCATCTCTATCAAAAGCAGAAGGCACTGGTCGGACCTTCCCAGGCCCCACTTTGCTCAGTCTTTCTTGACACCCTTAACTGCAAGCTCAAGACCCAGCTTTGTTCCTGCATCGTGGCTTTTTCTCAACTGGACTCATATGTCCAACTAGCTGGGTGCCATGGCTTCTTAATGTCACCTGGACACCTCCAGCTCATCATGCATAAGATGGTGTCCCACCAGCTGGTCCTAGCTGGCTCCTCTGCCACCACAAACTAGGGTTCTCCTCAACTCCTCGCCATACCCTCAACATCCAGTGCAGCTGCCAGCCCCCCCCCCACAGGGTTGTTGTCACCGGAGCGACCTCCACAGGTCATCATTGTCATTACCTTAGCCCAAGCCTCCTCGTGTTAGGCAACTTTGCATAACTATTATCACAAACTATTATGATCAACATAGTGAGAAGGGTTATTCTGGCCTAGAATTTTGGAAAATTCAGTCCAAGGCTGGTTGGCTCTTACTTTTTGGCTGTGGTTAGGCAGTAGATCTTGGTAGGGGCCTCAGAGGAGCGCACTGCCGCTCACCTGAGAAGTTCCCACAATCCCCTCCAGGCCACGCCCCCAAAACCTAAACTCCTCCCGCTAGCCCCACCTCTTAAAGGTCCCACCACAATCCCCTCCAGGCCACGCCCCCCAAAACCTAAACTACTCCCACTAGCCCCATCTCTTAAAGGTTCCACCCCTTGTCTATAGCCACGAGCGGGTGACTGAGGGCTTTGTGGACCTTCCAGATCCAACTAGTACACCTCCATTCGGCCATCTGCAACCACTGGCTCTTGTCACAGCCTCAGTCACATGGGTGTCTTGCACCCTGGCTCTGTCATGTTATTTCCTCCTGTCCCTGCTTTCCTTCCTGCCCAGTACTGCTGCCCGCTTATTTCTGCTGGATAGCACCTCTGCAGAGATAGCTTCCCATGAGACTGTCCGGCCCAGATCCAAACACTCAGATCAGTCACTGTTGTGATGAGCATGTTACCAACAGATAGGCGTCTCCAGGACAGAGAGCTTCGTGCGGCTCACCATGATTTCCCTGCGCCTCCCAGGGCTCTTGGACGTGAACGGTAAAGCACTCCAGTGTGCAGAATGAATGAATGAAACGAACATCTACCACGTAACATAATGGACCTCAGATGTCTTAGTGCAATTTTGTTGAGATATAAGGAAAGTTCTAGTAAAAAGAAATCAGGTAAACGCAAAGTGTTTTTTGTTTTTTGTTTTTTTTTTTAATGTGGCAGGAAGCTAAAGATAAGTCCCTCCATCCTGATTGTAGTCCTTCCTAGAACCCGCCTCTAATTTTTCATTTACCAAGAGCAGGGCATTTCACTTTCCACCAGGTGGTGGCAGCAGAGAGACACAGCCCCTCATACAGGCGCTGATTAACAGTGTGGTCTGCTAAAAATTCAAGCTTATGGTCAAAAGTAAGTGAAGTGTATAAAATTGTTAAATGACCAACGCCCACATAGCTAGTCCCTAACCCTGTAGAGGTTGAACACTCATGTTATCCAGTAAAGCGTGAAACTTTGCTAGAGTCAGAGTGACAGATGGATGGATGGAGTCCCTTGTGGCTTTGGACTGGACTGGACCTTGGACATCACTGAGAAACCCGCTAACTTCTTGCCTTACTCAGTCGAGGCCAGCAAGCCGGCTCCTTGGCAGAGTTGGGAGGAGAACTCCAAGATCTCGCCTCACATCCTCTTCTGTACTCCATTCTTAATCAGTGTTGACTCTTAACCGCTGTCAGCACGCAGAGTGAGCAGATTTCTGGAGCAGATCGGACACAGAAACTTCAAAGCACATAAAGTATAAGGAACAGTGTCGGAAAGGCCCTCAGGTGCTGCTAAACTTGGCTACATTTGCAAGCTAAGGCCCCCGAGCGTTCCTGTGGGTTCAGGAGCTGGTGTTTTCAGGGGGGCTCCCGGCTCCCCTCAGGTCTGGCTGCTGTTTCCTGCCGAGCTCACGCTGCTGCTGGGGGACGTGGCCTTGAGGCTCTGCTCCAGCGGGGTCCGCAGCTTCCTCCAGAGTCTCCCGTTCTGTCTTTGTGTTTGATCGGTGTTTGGAGAAGAGTCGTGTGATACTCGGCAAAGCCTGCTCCTTTCCAGCTTACACCCGTGCAGGTCACGTCCACCGAGACCACCTTTGTTTATTCCTTTATTTCCACCACGCCAGTGCATTTACTGGTTTATCCATACGTTTTCTCTTCTCACTGATTCATTTTCTTTCCTTCCTTCTTTTTAAGAAAGTGACCACATTCATCGTAAGGAATTTGTATCCATCTTGATCTTTTCCCTTCCTCCTCCCTTCCCTTCTGCCCCTCTGATGTGCAGAAGTTTGTTTCCGTTTTTCCTTCTCCTCTCGCTTTTCTCACTTGTTCACTCCTATCAGGATGGACTCGCGGAGCTCGGTTTTATTCAGTGAGTCGGACTCCTCTTTCATCTATGTCGGTGACCCCCGAATTCTCCTGCCCTTGGCAGAGAGAGCTCCCTGGCGCCACCTTGGGGCCCCTTGCTGACTTCCGTGTGACTCCTTTGAATCTTACTTCAGCATCACCAGTGGGTGATTCAAGAATTTCCCAACGAACCGGCAGTAGCAGATGCAGGGAAGGCCCTAGGAGTACAGAGTAAACTCTTACGGGCTCGCAACCTCTGCGCTTGCGTAAATATGTTTTGCTGCTAGA